TGTGTGTGTGTGTGTGTGTGTGTGTGTGTGTGTGTGTGTGTGTGTGTGTGTGTGTGTGGGGGTCCCACTCATGTACTGTTGCTGACATGAACCAAGGCTAATTAAAATTTATAGATATGAACACTTCTGATAACTTAACAAATCATAGCATCATTACAAATTTCCTTTATGCGTTCCCGTTGCTTGGTGCTCTGGAGAGCCGTGATAAAGTGTTATGAATCGACACAAGAACGGTCAACGCATGAATACAAGAGACAGTTTTACGCCGATTAGGGGATATTTTACGCCTGATTCAAACAACTACTAAACTCGTTCCCCAACGCTTTGACATCAAGGCCTATTTAATTTAAAACGGATTCAATCATCCTCGTGCAACTAGACATGAACAGGAACCGTGCCAGACATTTGTGTAACTATGCTCGAACGAAGGTATGCTGAAGAGACACTCACAGATTTTAGGGGGCTTCACGAAGCGAAATTAATTAGCGTCAGTCTATGTGTGGACAGATGTCCTAAGGTCCCATTATTCAACAACTAATGGTATGAAACTTTCATGATAGTCCTCAGTTTTTAATACTACGTTTGTGCCAAGATAAAAACACATACATCACTGCCACACCCAAGGCCCTCTCGTATGCACAAACTATCTTAACGCTGGACGTGCGTTACTCTGCTATAATGCTGTCTACACAGCCTAAGGGGCGGTGGGGTAGCCTAGTGGTTAAAGCTTCGGCTCGTCACGCCATAGACCCGGGTTCGAATCCCCACATGGGTACTATGTGTGAAGCCCATTTCTGGTGTCCCCCACCGTGATGTTGCTGGAATATTGCTAAAAGCGGCGTAAAACAAAACTCAGTCAGTCAGTCTACACAGCCTAAACAACGAAGACACCCTAAACAATGGATACAGACATTAATTATGAATGAACATAAACACACCTGTTACATAGGCACAATCATGAACTATATCTGCTGTCTTGCATAAACACATTATTGTTTATATTATCTCGTGTCAAATAGTACCCAAAGGCTTAATTGTCTGCATAGTCACATTATCTATCACCATACGCCATAATGTGACTTGATATTTATATTGTTAGTTAAATAATGTTATAAATCAAATATTTTTTCAACTGCAAGCAGCGGAGGCTGGTTATAAGCTATGTAAGGGAGTAGATTTGAGTAGGGGTGTTTCTAGGCATTGTATTCGATAAAACACATAGGAAGGGTGTCTGTTCACGAAAAACACATATTTCATTTTCATATATTGTTCATGTGGCCACGTGGCTTGCTGACACAGGAAAACATTTAGGTAAGGACAGGATAGGGCGTGTTGTGAGATACTCGTACACAAGAGTGAAAATAATTATTTTTCAGAAATTTCAGGGTATTTTAAGAAATATAGACAGATACAGTTTCTATTACAAGGTAATATTAGTTGTATAATATTTGTAAGTATTGTCTGTATTTCACTTCGTTGTGCACCCGGCAGATGTCAAGTGTGTGACGGTAGAGTAGTTTGTTAATATAGTACATACTTGTGGGTTATTAACTAGGCTGAAGGTTCATTTGTGTTTCCGTTCTCTTTTTTATATTTCTTTATATAACTGAATGAATGTCCGCTATTCCCACATACAATTTCACCCTGTCTTCTTTTGGACGGGTATGTAGATAACTGATGACCTTTTAATCATCTTTGACCGCCTCCGTGGTGTAGTGGTCCCCGACCGTGTCATACCCAAAGACGTTAAAATATGGTACTTGTTGGTCCCTGCCTGGCGCTCGGCATTAATGGGTACAACAAGGACTGGTCGGCTCGGAGTCAGTATAATGTGTCTGAGTGGGGTATTCATGCTTCACTGCGGCATGGTATCACAGTGGGCTAGCACTATAAAACCAGCTTAAGTCTGGGCTAGTACAAGCAGCCGCACATACACGTAAACTTGAATGCACGTCGTCATATGAGCGAAATATTCTCAAGCACGACGTTAAACCCAATTTAACCTCACCTTTAATCATATTTGCTTAGCACTCTGAAGAGGCTCGTTTTCTCTCAGGGGTGTAACCCGCATTCCTTATGTAGCTAGCATATTGATACACAGGGCGTAACATTGGAACTCAGCTCAGACACTCACTGATTGCATATTGTTTTATCATCCAAAACTGTGTTCCTCAGGAGATATTGCTTGTGTGAGATCAAACGATATCTCCTAGGAGATATCGCTCTGACAGTAGATTTTGTACAATGCCCTGACAATGCTATGACGTCATGAACTTGATGACGTCACAATGCTATGACATCGTTTCACTGCAAGCCTAATGGCAGTACTGTGTTCAGAGATGTACATTTTTCATTGAAAACTAATGAAGGGTGATTTTGGATGATAAATAGAATCTCACCCTCGTGTCTTCTGATATCAAATATATCAACACTCGTTGATAAAAGTTAAAATATCCTCGGCAAGCCTCGGATATTTGTAACTTTATGAACTCGTGTTGATATAATTGATATCAGAAGACACTTGGGTGAGATTCTCTATATACCCGAGAGCCCCCGTGTTCTAATGGGTTGAGCGGCGACCGTTACATCGGTAGTTCGGTTCCCGACCACGTCATACCCAAACCGTTTAAAGATGGTACTTGTTGTTACCCTGCCTGGCGCCCAGTATTAGGTGAGTGAGTGAGTTTAGTTTTACGCCGCACTCAGCAATATTCCAGCTATATGGCGGCTCAACATTAGGGGATAAACAGAGACTTGTGTAATGTGTCTGAAACTAGTCGTCGAAGTTTGGCATGATAGAGCAACGCTCGGTATTAAGGGATATACGGCGTGGTGTGCAACTGAGCTAACACTATAGAACCGTTAGTAGTCCGGAGTAGTAGTTGCACAAGCTCATAAATGCAATAATCTTGAACGTGACGTAAACGTCACCTCGCCTCACCTGAAATTGGTATAGTTAATAGTGAGTTGTGCGCCGCTTTGTGCTGTAGTCACACAGCTATATCACGGTGTGTCGGTTAAAGCACAGGCAAATTGTAGCGCAAATAGGGTTGCGCACCAATGAGAAAATGACGTCTTCCCATATGGGAAGACTGGTCATTTTCTCTATGTTGCGCAACCCTATTTGAGTTACAATTTGCCTGCGGCTATAGGTACAGCGAGTCAGCAAGGCTGAGCATGGGTATTGTTCGGACAGAAAATCATAATGGGGGGCATCCGCAATTCAAACCCACAGTCAGCGGCTCCTGCAACGACAATGAGACACAACTCTGCACAGTTTGGTGGAACGCTTTAAGCCTCCAGACCACCCCTCCTGAATTTCGATAATATATTCATACGTTTTATACTGATATTTAAAAGAGAACGCCCTGTGCGATATGGCAGCTACTCCTTTAAATCTACGTCACAGTTATAAATTTAGACTAACGTTTAGTCTCTGATTATATATAATTTTGATAGTAACAAACAAACCCATTTAAATTGAAAGGGAGGCCCGGGGTGACCAGAGATTCAGAACCTGAACCTGAATAAATCTAGACTTGCTTCATTTAGGGCTTTAACATTGCAGAGAGGGCTAGGCAGTAGGGAAATAATGTGGTTCAGGGACTGTGAGACAGACTATTATAAATGGTCCACAGATAACATGGGAATATTAAGTACCATGCGTTACCAATCACATCTTTAAAATAATTTTCAGAATTTAGAGGAGGTAGAAAATGTATGCTTTTGGTGACCCTTTAATCTGTATGCACGCGTATTATTTTTCTTTACTTCGTGGTGTAAATCTGGTTTAAAACACAGTGAAACTCGCTGTGGGACACGATGGACTACCATAGAATAACCGAGGATGCCTTTACAAACATAAACCCACCTTCAAACATGGGTGTTTCTTTTTATTGTTAGGTTCACAGCCAAACCGTGGGAGTCTGAGGCAGGCTGTTCGGTAACCACGCCTTGCATGGAAACATTTGGCAGTTCCACGTACTCTGATACATCTCACTCACACACTCGATCACTCACTCACTCACTGAATGGCTGGCTACACGTCATCACCTTTGTTGACAGTGAACCAACAATGCAATAATGTAGCTTTACGATTACTTTGTGCTGGTGAGAAGGTTGTATTGGAATCGACTCATCACAAATAGGCTACAAGATTTCCAGTGATCTCATCATCACAGCCACGAACATCACCACTTGTAGGACGATGAGTGAACGTTGACTAAACAATACAAAAAAAACCGACTGACTGAACAAACATATTATGCCATCTTCTGGAACCTACCCTACTGTAGCTTAGAGTCATTGAGTCTTGTCCAGAGGTACACCTGTAGTTTATAGCTTAGTTGTTAAAGTGTTAAAGGGCGACTACGGTGAGAACGGCGGTTCATCCATTAGTATCTTTTAGTTATCAAAATGTAGCACGACGGCGGTATCCAGCTCTTCCTGTTAATAACACGGACCATTGAGCTTGTCAGGTACGGTAAAGAGATCCAACTTGCAGTCGTGCACAACGCAGCCCTACATCATTGAACCACTACCAGAAGGTTCAGCTGCATGAATCAAATTTTGGTGATGTGCTTTAGTACTGTCGTCTTTTTAAATCGTTCAGAAAACTGTAGTGAACATATTGCAATTATGAGATTTATAACACAACCCGCTTGTCGCCTTCGCAGCACGTGGATAAGCGACCCTCAGCCTCTGATATCTGCCAGTATAGGGTACATGCACGCCTGTTTGTATTTGGACCAAATTACCCTGGGTTCAGGTGGTGCTTAATTATTATTCGTATACATTGCACGGTTTTAACACGTTTGTATAATATTCCAGCTATATGATGTTCTAGCTATATGATGACATCTGTAAATAATACAATTTGGCCAGAAAGTTCAGAGACTCTTTTTATCATAGCGATCCGGAGGTCAGTCTATGATATGATTCGTAAAACACGACAACTCACAAAAAGTATGGCACACAGAGAATAAGAACCAACACAAACATAAAAGCAAAAACATTTTATGTTGATGTTTATTTGAAACCATGTCCTTCGAACTCACACCAATGTTACATTGGTCTGTGAATAACGGAGGCGAACTCAATCAAGTTTCTGGTGATGTTCCGGAGTGCCTGTTGGTAGCCGTCATGATACGTCAGGATGTCGCACCATTTACGTCACAGTGCAAGGCATTTCTGAAACAAATTTAGTTCGTATAAATATGTGAAACCGTTATCATAATTCTAATTAACAAAGATTATGCAAGGATTTAAACGTTAAAAATAAGATGCATGCCACGTAAAGGTTCAGACTGGGCTTGCATGTGCTTAACGCGTCTTGACTGAGGGCATGTTATTGGCAGGACGATTGAAACGTTGACAGTGTATAATGCGAATAGTGTATTTATAGAATGTGTTCGGGGGGTTGAACGTAAGAGCGCGAATATTATGGGATTTGTTCGTCATTTGGCGAGTTAAAGGGTTTAGAGGTTATACGCTAAGGCTAGTGTGAGGAGAGTATGGCTTAACAGGTTACTGGGTATAGAATAAGATGTTTAGCGCGAGTGTGTTGGTTATGAATGTTAGGAAGCGCGAATATGTGAAACGATATGTATACATACACCATGTTAAAGAGTACTGGTGAGCTGAGGTGGGGTAAGGCAAGGTGATGTGTCGTGAGGTGGTGGTGGTGGTGAGGGCGGTGAAGATTAATACTTTCATAGCGACGTTCTATAGTATGTGGCTGCTTGTGAAAGTCCGAACCTCTGCCGGTTTTATTGTGCCAGAATACTGGGATACCATGCTATAGTTTAACATGGAATTCCTACTCAGAGAGCAGGGTACCAGTGAATACAATCTTTTAACATCTTTTGGTACAATACGGCCGGAGTATCGAACCGCTGACCTCATGCTCTCACGACGGACGCTCTTTACACTACACCACGGACGTGGATAAGAGTATGATGAGCGAGCGCATGTAAGTATGCACCCCTACACAGCTATGCAAGATTAACATCATCCTGTCGATGTTAGGCCGGTTTGGCCGTAATAGGCATTGTCATAGTACGCAAAATACCTCAAGGACTTGCCTTTCCAACTACATTTCTACAGTTCATCTGTCATGATGCTTTTAAGCTATCGGTGGTTGGGTAGCATAATGGTTAAAGCGTTCGCTCGTCACGCCGAAGGCCCGGGTTCGATTCCCCACATGGGTACAATGTGTGAAGCCCATTTCTGGTGTCCCCCGCCGTGATATTGCTGGAATATTGCTAAAAGCAGCGTAAAACCAAACTCACTCACTCACTCACTTTCAAGCTATCATAGTTAATCTGTTTGCATCTCAAATCAACTTTGGTATTGTCTAAGAATCAGTATGTGCTTAATTTCGTTTGAATAGTACCCTATTGCATGTTGCTTTGAAACTTAGGCCACAAGCAAGAATTGGTCGTCAGTGTTGATATATGGTATTGAACTTCAGTGACATAGGTAAAATATGTATAATTAATGTATGTATATTGATGATAGAAGAACTGACCTGCTGTTCTCTGATGAACGCTGTGCCGCTTAACAGTCGTCGCCCTCACACGGGATTGTCGTCTCAGCCTCTGTAGTCTCCTCGGCATACGTCGTCGAAGACTCTTCCACATATGTCGTCGATGTCTCCTCGGTGACTGTGGTCTCATTGTCGGTACTTGTGGTAGTGGTTTCGGGACATGACAGATCGCTGTTGTTCGCGACGTCCAGGACAACGCGGTCGAGCTCAGCGCCGTAACCATCGTCCTTGCTTCTATCCTGGGCGTCAACGAGGACCCTCAGTGTATGCTCCCCGCTACCCACAGACATCTTCTCGCCGACCCTTCCTGTCTCGGAAATGGTATTCCATTTGTTGCCGAAGTCGGTGCCTGTGGTACCTGAGACGTCTGCGATAATTTTGCCGTCAAGTTCCAGAACGAAGAGGTCCTCGCTGCCGTCGTTGGAATAGTAGATGTTCTCAATCAGGATAGTATCATCTGAACCCAAACAGAAGGTCATATCAATGCTTTCATCCATGTAGAGAAGGACATTCCTGACATTACTGGCTTCCGACCTGAATATGGTTCTGTTGGCTTCCAGTTTACCAGCAAACGCCTCTGCTTCCAACGTCACGCTGACGCCGAGACCGAGGGCGACGAAGGATGCCAGCAGGAAAACTCCGAACAGGGTTGTGCATGCCATTGCGACTGAGTAGGCCGTGCAGGGTCAACAGTCATTTTTATAGGGGCCCAGGGGCAAACAATGACACCCATCCCTAGCATGTGGCTAATTTGAAAGTGAAACATGTCTAGGGGAGAATTTTCACAATATATTGAAAAAACTACATTTTTAATCATTATTTGTCCAAGGGAGCGTATGTCACATACTCACACCCTTAGGTAAAGGCCTGATATTGAGCGTGTTTTTTTCTTACTTCCAGGCAAGAAAACCAACATTTATGCAAGCCGTAACGCGGACAGACGAGTAAATGGTAAATTACATAATTACTTTAAAAAATATAATGCGTATTGTATATTGTATGTATGCGTGTATATTGTACAATAATGTACAAACCGTGTGTACTATGAATGCAAATGGGACAGTAAAGAGTATTGTGAAATCCTACAAAACAGTTAAGTGTACAGTATATACATATGGAACAGTATAGTGTACTGTAAATTGATATAGAATAGTACAGTGTACTCTGTATACACATGGAACTGCACAGTGCACTGTTCCAGTATAACTGTACAGTGTACTCTATATTAATAAAGTCCACATGTTTTAATTTGGGAATATGTACTAAGTATGGAAGACGGAACACGGTGGACGGAATGGTACATGGCAGTTAATGACTAATTAATGACAATTACTGACACAAAGGGAGGGGGGAGGGGTAGCCTGGTGGTTAAAGCGTTCGCTCGTCACGCCGAAGGCCCGGGTTCGATTCCCGACATGGATACAATGTGTGATGCCCATTTCTGGTGTTCCCCGCTGTCATATTGCTGGAATATTGCTAAAAGCGGCGTAAAACCCAACTCACTCACTCACAAGGAGCAAGGTTGTGGATGTTGTCCTAGAGATATTATTGAAAGAAACTCATCGAAGCGATTAGCTGTGAAACGTCTTCTGTGAGGACCCTAACATCCTAGATTAATGTGTATAATCGGGGACAGAACTGTCTCAAACAAGCGTTCTTAGATCGTTTGGTGGAACATGATAGTGGTCCAGTATCCGTGAACATCCGTGAATTGATCTTCATGAACACATGCTTATCGTAAGTGGTGACTAACGGGATCGGGTGGTCAGGCTCGACATGGTTGATGCGTGTCATCGTATCCAAGTTACGTAGATCGATGCTCATCCTAGATCACTGGATTGTCTGGTCCAGACTCGATTATGTACAGAGCGCCGCCATATAGCTGGAATATTGCTGAGTGCAGCGTTAAACTACAACCAAACATGTTTAGTCAAGATTTCCTTCTATGACTCGAGCGCTAGATTCAATTGAACATATCATTTCGGGTCTTGAATTCCATAACTACCACTCTCACTAACAAAATAATCTAAAACTTCGGATTACGAAAAGTATATCATGGTGCCGGAGGACAATAGCTGCTCACAGTAATGTTGCTTCCCAAAACGACCGAAAGGGATTAAACACATGGCAAAGTTAATATATGAACTTGTTACACAAAATTGTTACAACGCCAATCTTACCAATGTGCAATGACGCACCTATTTTCTTCCAAATGATATGCAACTGCATATAATTGATAGTCATGGATTAGGTATTCTGTCAAACATTGACAACCCGATACGACCACAAGTCATGTTTGTACAGGACCGTTTCACCCAAGGACACTAATTTCATGACATACTCTCACTGTTGACACAGCGGTTGAATCCGGGGCTCGCATTGGTTTAGGAAGTATTGACACGTTGGTAAAGCTATGCTTGAATGCAGTAAAACATCCCCAACTGCACCGAAAGATAAATAGCAACATTTTTGGGAAGGGCGAATTAGATAGTTTGAATTTGGAAACGGATCACTCTGTATCAAGCCTAAAAACTGATCCAGCTGCCCTATGCCACTGGTGTAAAGACTAATGAGCTGGCGCCACTATGAATCACGTTCAACAGATCTTAGTGTGTATCTGCAAGCCCGCGGTTAGCGAGAGCTTTTACACATATACCACAACACAACACATGAGATGCATGCCATATTATTTCTTCACACTGTAGCGAAAACTGTGTAGTGGTTAACAGCTTGTTTGGACGCATGTTTTGATTACAACTTTTTAGCCCCGGGAGCATGCACACAACATACTCGAAACTTGCCATGTCATCATGATGAGAAGATGGCGGAACATACTATGGATAAAAGGTGTGGGAAACGGAGTCGATAACGACAGACATGTGACTGGGATCAAACATTAATTTTACGTGTTGATTTCCTCGGTGAAACTGAAAACGCCGAAACTCAATCCGTAAATGAACTTAACTGGCGTACAAAAGAAAGTACACACCTGGTGTTTTCGGATTATTTGAAAAGTGTTGTGGTTTTGACTGGCAACTTCGCAATTGGGCACGATATCTGTGGTGTTTTGGCAACATATTAGGAAAGTCTGTGACTTAAAAACTCTTTTCAAAACATTTGCGTCGCTCTTTGGAAAGTAATCCAAAAGAACCAGGTGTGTACTTTCGTTTGTACGTCAGTTTAGGTGTGAAACCAACAAATAACAAAGACATGTGATGTTATTAACAATTGTTTTCTAAAATTAAGTACATAAATCACTACAAAGTTATCACTATACCAGTACAAAATAGTGACAGTATAAATTCAAAACTAATATAATATAAGAACAGTGATTATAGCAATACAGACAGTGAGTGTAGTATCCCCCTCTCAGCAACAGTAGACCAGGGAGACCGGGGGCAATTGTAACACGGGGCAATTGTAACAAGGGAGATTACTCTACAAGTTTTCGCTCAAGCATAATGTAGGTGAGTAGAGTTATTTCCCTTTGCTTTCCTGCAGTACACATCCGGGCGTTTTTCAGCTGCTCGCTCATGGCGAGATACAGTAGACGAAAAATCATTTTTTACATAAGATAGTAAATTTTTCACAAAACGTAATAAAACGTTCTTAATGCAGTAAATGTTGCTTGGTATGAAATTAACTTTTCAAGTGTAAAATTGAGGTATAACGACTTATTTTGAAGTAGAAATATTTGAGAAGCCCAACGTTGTTAATATGTGACGTGGCATGAAACATGGCTACTAGCATGAGGGGCAATTGTAACACTGTGTTACAACTGCCCCCGTGTAATTTTCCCTTATGTTATGATAATGAAGCAAATTATGATGTCGGTGTTATGTTAGTTCTTTACTAGTTTCATCATAGTAGAACATTTTCAGTCTTGTGTTGATAGTATCAGCCCTCGGGTGAAAGTTTTTGGTGTTAGTCTTTGTATTATATTTTGTGCATACGAAAACAAGAATTTTAAATTAAAAACATTTTTAATGTCGATGGTGACAAAGGTTTAATATTGATCCATATCCACCTCAATTGATCAAAGTAACATCTTTCCACATTTCATTTTGATTTTATTTGGAAAATAAACAGATTCTTACATTCGAACCTTCTTTGTTACAATTGTCCCATCCACCTGTTACAATTGCCCCGTGCTCGGGGTCAATTGTAACACTTGCAGTCATTGCATTTGATACGTTATGACTTTGTAACATGATCGTGAACTTTAAATGACTCCGAGGTTTAGAGCCAAGATGCCAATGTATTAGTTAGTACCGATAAACTTTGTGAGCGGTCGATTAATATCGAATTACAAGAACTTAAGTAAAAAGTGTTACAAATGACCCCGGTCTCCCCTAATCTAACTTGACAGAGTACCTAGGGTATAATAGACACACACAATCCTGGTCTTCTTGTTACTAGTAATGTATAAGAAGACACCATAAAGAATTAGATACTAGAAACTCCTACATTACTCTCCGATGATTCTCTAGAATCAGCTCCTTGCAGCCGTTTATTGATCTTTCTGTCTAAGTTTTAATATAGAGCGCACCACTGCCGCCAACCAATATACCAAGTCAACGTACCTGACCACTCTGGCTGCGGAATGGGATTCCCAAAAGGATACGTTTTGCTTCGAATAGATTTGCTGTTTAGTAAGAGCAGAGACCATATAATATTATATTGTCTCTGGTAAGAGATGAGGCGTGTATCTGCATGGTCATCAAGTATTTTATACATGCTGCGCCCGCAGAAAATGAATTCCCCTGAGAAACTGAAAATCACATTATTCACTAAAGGTATATTTTGTTGATGTATATACATCATATTTTTCTTCTAAAGCTGTTGGTAAAAAGCAATAAATGAATTATCGAAAGGAGTCGGTTGTTTTTGTTTGTTGTTTAACGCCGCACTCAGCAATAGATATGCCGGCGGTCTGTAAATAATCGAGTCTGGACCAGACAATCTAGTGATCAACAGGATGAGCATCGATCTACGCAGTTTAGATACAATGACATGTGTAGAACAAGCCAGCGAGTCTGCCCACCTGACCCCGTTTGTCGCCTTACTACGACAAGCATGGGTTGCGGAAGACCAATTCTAACCCGGATTTTCACGGGTGCGTCCTTTACTACCATACATGAATGTCGATACTCGCTAGGAATATGGAAATACAGGTGAATAAGTATACTAGCATAGGTGTTCGTGTGTTTGGTTTGAAGTCACTGAACAGTATGTCAGTTATGTCACGGCGGGTCTGTTTCATGTTGGAGGGTAGCCCGAAGTGATGCAGGTCTTTGAGTTTACCACTTTGGTGAATTCCACGGGCATGGTGCTAAAAAAAACCAGAAAAATAACCAGGGCGAACAAAGGTTTCTGGCAAGCCATGGGCCACAGGTACGTAACTGCACACGGAATGTGGCGATTGGGAGACGTTGATGCCACAGTGTTTAATGGTATAAAAACTGTAGGTACGCGTCTAGTTCACCCTGATGCAGGGCGCCTCTCATCAGTGTAATCAAGGCGCTTCGTCTGTACCATCACATATGTGAAAGTCCATGGGATGTACGCTAGCGCTAGTTTTATTGCAGAAGGTTATCTCATGACCGCAATTTTCGAATCGCTTCCAGCACACGCTACCATCAGCCATCTTCAGATTCCGGAG